GCGCCTCGGCGTCGGCTGACACTGCCGACAGCAGCGCTGATACGTCTCCCGAGCTTCGTCGAGGTACGAGCCCAGCCCCTCGTTCTTCTGGGTGCGCAAGTGACTCACACCAGGGCTTCTTCTTATGTCAGGGCCATGGACGACGATGATGATTTCCAGCAGGAGGAAAGCGTTGGGGGCGGCATCAACTTTGGCGATGACGACCTGTAAACCCCTGCGTGTGTTTTGGTTCTCTTCTCTCCACGTTTTGTACTTGCTTTGCTCCCTGGCGTGTGGCCACCACATAAACAGGACCACTGTTCTTCTTGCCCAACAGGCCTCCCGACGTGGTAGAGAACGCACGCCACCTGTCCCGTCCATCAAAACACGCAGAACGAGCACATCCGCTGTTGGTGCAATGAATGGATTCTATTAACTAAGAGCGCCGTTGGTCCAGTGGTAGGATCGCCGCCTCCACGCGGCGGCCGGTTCAATTCCCGGACGGCGCACATTAATTTTTCCATTTTTCTGCTTTCTAAAGCAATTTTTGTCAACAGACCCGCTGGTTCCGCACGCAACGAGACGGTGTGCTCGTTCATGGGGGAACTTGAGAGTGATCGCAAGGAATTCTCTTGGGTGGGCGGGCTGTAGGTACTCTTCCTTGCCCTGACGCTTGGTCATTCAGACAAGCAACACATACAACACGCACACCCACCCCAAGGTACTCATTCCCCCCCCGCCCATTCGGCTCGCAGTTGGGTTGATGCCAACCCGCCGGCTGTGATGCAGGACATGCTGCAATCAGAAACATCCCTCCGGCCCAGTATATGGCAACTCAGCCACGTGAAGCGGCTGGGCGAGTTCCGACGCTTCCCTCAACTCGCTGGCACAACCACCGGCAAGTTTGACGTTGTTGTGATCGGTACGTAGTACCTACCTCCTTCTCTCTCCTACATCCCGACCCGAGACTCAACCGGTTCTGTCTCTGCATGCAGGCGCCGGCATGTTTGGCCTGACTACTGCGCTAAAGCTGCGGGAGAGAGGTGTGAGCGTGGTGGTGATCGAAGCGCACCGTGTGGGCATGGGCGTGGGCGGCTTCAGCACGGCCAAGCTGTGCAGCCTCCAACGCACCATGTTCTCACAGATCCGCGGCAAGTTCGACGATGATGTAGTGAAAGCCTACGGCGCCATGAACCAAGAGGGTACCACCCGTGTCCATATGGTATTTGGTGCGAGACGATATTTATTCATGTCCTCTTTTGGACGCAGCCATCAACGACATTGAGGCAGTGGTGCGCAAGTACAACATCGACTGCTGTTTCACCCGCGCAACACACACCACCTTCGCCATGAACGCCTCCGAAACGGAGAGTGTGGACTCTGAGGCCGCACATGCACTC